TTAATAAAATACGTTTTAATAAACATTGTTCATGGTAGGATGCTTGAATACCATACAAAATTTAGGGAATATCGTATGAGTGAGTATTCTGTATATTTCCTCTCTTTGTTATAATTATGTGTGTCTGGGATAGCCAGCTAAGTCCTAGAGCAGCTGAGGTAGGCAGGCTTATGCAGGGGCGGCGCCAGCATGGGAGCGGGGGGCTTAATCCCCTATCGGGCTTGTCAAGGCCCCCCCCCCTCCAATCAGCCAAAGCTCGACCAAAAAAGAAAATTAAAATAAGCCTAGTTTTCCCATCCCAGCCATTTCCGGCCATCTAAAAGTCCCAATTAAAAAAAAAAATCTTGTTTTGGGAGGAGGGGACACCCCCTCCCATACCCACTCTGGCTCGGGTTTTCGGCCCTCGGATAACGCTGCACGCTATAGTTACACCCATAAATACATAGCCCCCAGTCGGACATCTTAGCCCCATCCCCCTCCCCCCATAAATTATATCCTAGAGCCGCCACTGGGCCTAAGCCTAAAACTCACAATACGATATTTTCAGCTATTGTATTGTATTCCTCTCATGAAATTTAGGCCATTTGTGATTTGTGAAAGTTAAATGTTGCGAAAACAGCCGAAATTATCAATTCGCAAAAGATTTGTGCTGCGAAAGTTTCTGGTTTGACAGTATCTATTTTATATTTTCTTTAATTTTTTCAAAAAATTATTTTGTGTCTCATTTTTGTCATACCTACCAAGCCTCATGCTTATGGCGTGAGAATCATGCCTCAGCTCCTCTTCTCATGCTCCACCCGCTCAACAATCTGTTTCTCACGCCGGTCGTGGATGAGGCCAAAAGAAGAAAAAAAAAAACACTCGGGGGGCTATCTCAATAGAAAATCGATGATCAGGATAGGCCTATGTAAAGTGGCAAGCCTGGTATAGTAATTTTGTAATACCTCATTCAAATCCCAAGAGGAGTGAGAAAAACAAAACTGCCTTTCGCCCAAATTTAGATCCAAAGGGAACATTGTCAAGTATTCTGACCATCAAATTGGCACAGGAGGTGCCAGCTCATGCATTTGAGCTACCTTAAGATGTATCAAAATCTGCAAAAAAGGCCACCTGGGCTTATAACAAAGCCCACTCATCAACTTCACAGGAGTAAGGTTAACTCTTTCCCATTGCTTAAAAATTTCATTTATTCCTGAAGATGAAATAATAAATGTTGAAATATTGAATCAAAACACAATATCATGTGTCTCATTTCTTGGAGTTTGCTCTTAAGAATTCTGCAAGTAAAATTGTATTATACTGTAGGTATGCACCAAATTGCACAATAGAACCCAAAAATGAAAATATGTTCTATTGTGGGAGGGGCCCTCCCACACCCAACCTCCCTCCTGCCTTATTTTTGCAGATCCAATGGCACCTTCCCCCTCTCCCTCCACTTGTTTTGATGGTCAAAATCACAATTGCTGAAATTACTCCAAAATGGCAGTCACATCCATTTTCCCCATGTGCTTTAATCCTGAATTTGGTACTGCAGTACAGATAGGGTACACTTTTTTTTTTTTTTTTAATAAGAACACATTTTAGAAGAACACTGAAGCTGAAATCTCTTAAAAATTAAAAACAAAATAAGAACAAATTAAGGCTGAGATAAAATGTCAAATGAGGTTTTTATTTTTTTTTAAATAGAAAACCAACTATCTATCTTTACCTTATTTGCAGTAGGTGTTACTATGTAATTGCGATCGGGACTGTAAAATAATATTTTTTTATGTTTTAAAATAAGAACAAAATAAGAACATTTTGAGCCTGAAATTGGCCAAAAAATAAGAATACTGAGACTGGGCAAAATTTTAATGGTTCTTATAAATAAAAAACAAAATGTGTACTCATTTTAAGTCATTAAAGCCTACAATTTATCTCTATCATTTTTTGCAAGAGTGCAATTATAATAGAATTTCTGAACTGGCATAATGAATTATACTTATCCTCATTGTATAGTCTCTACTCTTGATTGAATCACCCACCTTGTCAAATAACTGATTGGTTTTAGTTTAGCAGCTTTTGGCTGATTCTACCCATAGCACTTTTTTAGTTAACTAGGTCTAGACTGTCAAATTTTATTTGGCAAAAACTGTTGTATGCCCATATATAGTCATGATGTGCCTATATATGTTGATGATGTGGTGTCATCATGACCAAATTCAAACATGTTGCATGTTTTTGTCAAATAATATTTGATAGTCTGGACAGGGCTTTGTAGACAACCCGTTTCCTATGATTACAACATAGCAAACATAATGCCCAGGGTACCTGATAGAGATTGCGCTTCAAACCTACCAGAAAAAAAAAATAACACTCAGGATTCATGTTCTGCAGTTCATCTAAATTAATGAAAACGGTTACTCTTTAATTCACATTCTGGTTTGCTTGCCTCGGTTGTGTCAATTTTATCCCAGCTCCTGATGTGTCATAGAACTGTTTATTTCTGAAATGTTGGCAGTAGTTTAAAGTATGATTTAAACTTATTAAACTTGATAATAACCTATCAAAATGTATGATTTTTTTATTGGGTTTTTTTTTTTTTTTTTTTTTTTTTTAGCATTTGCCGCCTTCTGGGATCGGGTTCCAAGTTCTACCAGTTGTGTCTCAACTATCTTGATTGCACTTGCACCCACCTCCGTTCCTAGTGTAACCTTGAACTTATTTGCTTTGAGTAGAAGTCCTAATTAATGTTAATGAGCAAATAAAGGAAAATAAAGGACGAAGTCAAAACATCACTAATTAGATGTGACAAGTGCATTCTGTTGAAATGAATTTTATGTTTGCATAGCAAAACACACTGTCATTCATGCCTTAACTTAGCATATTCAATGCAATTATCACTCATGTCATTAGTCAATCCAAGTTTTCAAATTGACAATAATAGTAGTTGCCGTCTTGGAACCACACAAATGCGTGGCGCAGTTGTAACTAATTCAATTTTACAGTTAAAATAATACACTTATTCTCATGTTTTCACTCTGAGAGGAAGAGCTACTAACACTTGCGAGGCTACTGTAAATTATTTTTAGAAATCAAATATACTGCTTATGAGATTACAGTCATTGACAGAAACCACTTCACTGAAATGCCGCTTAGAAATTATAGTACAGTAGGCCAATTTGTCTCGTACATTTGAAAATTTGTTTTCCATGACTGTGATGTTCGTTGTGAAGGAATGTTTTCTGGGATTGTTGGTGAGGTTGATAATTTTATAGGATGCTGTCTGCCTTTGGTGAGTAAGTGTATTATTATTGAGATTTGTGTAATGTAGGCTTGGCCATCTCATTTTGTACAGTAACGATACCTGCACTGTGGGAAGATACGTGCAGAAGCATAATTTAGTCATTCAGCTAGCCTCATAATTAATGCACGTTGGATTATTTCAGAATTTCAAAATACAAATAGAAAATTTTGATACTACTGTAAGTAATTTAGATGAATTCTAGAATATTTATTAGATATTTGACATTTTTTATTTCTTTCCTTGTCATATTTAATTGAAAATGTTTATTTTTATTTAATTTTTTCTGGGGAGTAGGGAGGGGATATAATAGTGCTTGATATGATTTCCCTTACTTATGTAGTCTGTTGGAGAATGCAGTGTTATCTTCCTCATCTTCCAAGTCTTCGAATAATTATATTCATGGCCATATCCAGGATTGCCACTTGAGAAAGGTGGGGGAAAGGTGCAGGAAATTTCAAAATTATACTAGATTCCCCATGTGCAGTCATGGGGACAAGGCCGCTTGAACCACAGCTTTAATTTTTCATTACTATTGCAAATTAGGCCCAAATACAAGTCTATAATGAAAATAACCATTTTTTTGTTCAGTATATTCTCAACTGTCAAAAAATGTGAACCTTTTCTTCCCCCATGTCCTAATACATAACCTGTATTTCATCATCATCATCATCATCTTCATCATTGTCGTCGACAACAACATTATCAACATAGTCATTGTCACCATTACTTGTTGCCACCACCATTTTGTTCATTAACAATAGACCTAAATGTTTATCAAATTATATTGACAGCAACCTTGGTGTTAAACTGAACCATTCAAAATTGTGTGAGTATGTTGTTAATATGTAATATGATAACATTCTACTTATGCTAATTAATTTTATACTTCTGCCATTTGGCTGATATTACTGAATAATGTTTCTTTTTATGTGTGAAAGCAATATGTTATTTGTGTGTGTGTGTGCACAGTGAACAGGCTTGAATGTGTTGTATCTTCTGTGTCTGAATCACTTTTTTTATAAGAACCAGTAAAATTTTGCCCAGGAAAAGTGTTTTTTCTTGCTTTCAGGCTTAAAATGTTCTTATTTTGTTCTTATTTTTATACACTTTTTAAACATAAAATAATATTATTCTATCGTTATATTACTGTACTGTATATAGATATTATTACATAGTCACACCTACTGCAAATAAGTTACAGATAAGATTTGTTGGGTTTTTTTTTTATTAAAAAAAAATAATAATAAAAACCTCATTTGACATTTTATCTTTGCCTCAATTTGTTCTTATTTTGTTCTTAATTTTTAAGCAAATTTAGCCTCAGTGTTCTTATACAATGTGTTATTATATAAAAACAAAATATATTTTAAAAATAGGTGTATTTTAAGAATATATGCTAAAGGCAAGACGGTAATAATAATGTTCGAGCTAAGACCGCCCCCACCATATTGGGCCCCTTAGTTCTCTCAAAGCACATGCTTCTCAAGATATCTATGTACTAAATATTATGAGATAACATTGCTACCATCAGAACAAGTACATACTTACCTGCGTAGCTTTGAACTAGTGTACCAGCAAAATGTATTTCATGATAAATTATTGAGATATGTTTTGGCTATCAATGACCAATCAGAATATAGCTTACATATGCAAGCTGTCAGTAAACAATAAAAAATGCAAATAATGTATTCACTGTTTCCAGATACCAAATCTTTTTTAATATGCTGGTGTAGGTAACTGACATTTAACTAAATTTGCATGTTGAATTGCATTCATTTGTTCTCAATTTAATAAGCCACACAGCTGCTTGGACCTGGAAGTAACACAAGTATTAATTGATATGGCCGACAGTTTAATAGAACCAGGCCTGCTGTTTGCAATGTCTGATTGTGTAAAGAGAATTGTTATGGCGTAATATTTTAAAGTGCTACGCGTCTTTACTTTATCACCGGACATTGTTTTTATTGATTTTGATTTACAATCATGGGATCACGAGAATCAAGTATGGACACCAATGAAGACCAGGATGATCCTAGTCTACTTGACTCATTTTTAGATTTCATCTTGGTAGGTTGAGCAATTGATTGTTTATGTACACAGACTGATTAATACAGTATTTTGTTTGGATGGGATACCACATATGCCAGTTTGCACTGATGTATTCTTTATCACAGATACATATGCTGCTATTAAACGTACAATTATACAATGGAAATACCAATTTGCCTTGTGGATTTCACAGATTTCTTTTCATAGTGTTGCTAATCATGTCTACCACAACTGCCTAACTGGTAGTAGTGGCATATCCAGGAGTTGGAAAAGGAGGGGGCCCAGGGAGGGACTTCCACAGATGGCGGGTCTATACCACTTCATTCCCACAATGATTAGGGCTGAGAACATTTATGATTATAGTGCATCTAGATGCTGGAAATGGCACTCTCAGATTTTAAATTTGAATATAAATTTCTTCTTTCTTCAAATACTTTTTTCGGTTTTCACATTGGCCTGGCTAAAACACTGGCGGTGCACTACCCTAGTAGGCAAACAAATTTGGCGAGTATATCAAAATGCACTGGAAACCAGTATACTGTACTGCTTATATTTATTTTTGTTTTACCAAAAATATGAAAGCTACATTGATGAAATTCACATATGGCATAGTTATATATATTAGGAAGCGACAAAAAAAAAAATAAATAAATAAATAAATTCTAAGAAATTTTTCTAAAATTATTTTCGTCTTATCTCTTGGATGTTACTAACGCCCGTATTCTTAAAACAAACTTTAGTTAAACTTCGAACTAGAACTTCATTTAGTGCTAGTTTCAACTTCAACTTAAATTTGTATTCACAAACAACGTAGTGAAAGTTCTAACTACGACTAAATTAAGTCCTAGTTGTAGTTCTGCAGAAGACGGCTGGCAAACAACAACTATCAAAATAACCAATGAAAAGAGCTAATTTTAAAAGAAGACGAAATGTTAGAGATACTGTAACACGGATGAATATTAAAATGCTGTCTGTCTTACAAAAACATATTTCCTCATAATTCATAATAGACCATCCATTATTCGCCTAATATTCTATAATAATAACTATATTAGTAATTAACATCTAAACTATAGAGAATTTGAACTGTCACTATCGTAGTTGAGGTCTAGCGAGGGCGGCGCCATCATTGTTGTTGTTACGGTGAAGCTATGTGACCACAACGCGAGGGGATTTCATGCAAATTAGGAACTGTTGGACGTGGCTAGCAAAACATGTTAATTTCGCCTTTTGGAAGCTAAACATACTGTCACTTTTCTTGAACACACTGGAGATACTATCACTTTTCTTGAACACGCTCGAGAGATACATCAGGCCTATTTATACAATCGTTCTTATTCATTTCACTTTATCGTAAATTACAAAACGCATGTTTTTAGTGTGGTAGATATTTCAAGCCAGCGATTTAACCTGACCCTAGGCTGACTAAAAAAATCGGCCTGAGGAGGTATAATTTTAGTTGAGGTTGGTGTGATTTAGTCGTAGTTCTAGTCGAACTATGTAACAGGTAGGCTTATGTCAATTCCAGATACTGATACTGCTTAGAGGATTACATACTGTTACTCAGAAATATGGTGTTTATAAATAGGCCCAATTGTTTTATCACCCAAAGGTTTGTCAGTGATATCTCTCCTCAGGCAAAGGAAAGTGGGGTAGGGGAGGTGGACGGTTACATGAGTGTTCCATATCCATTATTTAACATCTTTGACTGAATTATGTTTGGACATAAATGATTTTCTTTCCCATAGTATTTTGATGTTTACTTTTCTAATGCAATACAAAACATAGAGAATGGGTTGGTTCCTTCCTACTTGTTACTTGTTTAGCGCCTTGCTTTTTAGTTACGAAGCGCTGTGAGCGTCTCTCCACAATAGGTCAAAAACATCCCCCCGAGTTTGCATAGAACCTAGCCCAAACAAAGTGTGCTAACCTAACTAATGCAATAGCAGTATAGTGCGGACACTACTGGAAGGATGAATAATGGTGTCCCCTAACAACACTACGTCCTAGTAACACTACATCCAACAACCTTAATCTAAAATATTGTTCTTCAGAACTTTAATTTTTAAATTGTTGGGCATTGCTTTAATTTGGTTTCCCGCTCATTTGCAATAACCAATTGGACAAGGCATCAATAGTGGTATCACAGAACGGAGATGATGGTTGGTATGGCTAGACGGAAATTAATGCGATTGAGAATGAGTCGTATAAGATTTTCAGTGATAAATTGTGATGTTGGTGGTGATGATGATAATATTGATGATGATGTTTACATTTGTTATTGGATATAATAATGTTGGTTAGGATTACAATGATGACAGAATTAACTTTGATGTTAAGGATGATGAAAATAATTTTGATTATGATGTTGGTTTGATATGATAATAAATGATCAAAATAATTGATGATAATGATAATAATTATGGAAATGATTCCAGGGGTGATAATGATAATGAGAATAATGAAGAGGTTGATAATAATGTTGATGGAAGTGATATGAGGATGGCTATGGTTATGAGAATGATGGGAATGTTATGATTTAAAACAATCTTTTGTGAAAATGACAATAATGATAATGATTATAAGAATGATGAAAATACTGTATTATGGTTTTAAAACAATATCTTGTGAAAGTGACTGCCGTAATTCTCACAAAATGTATTGGAATTATGGCTTCTCAACACTGACAGTAGCAACAAATGCTTGCATATTTACTTAGTGCCCATCAAACAAATCAATACAAATTATAATAACATAATTTTTATGGCTCTGAGGTACAGTATACAGACTCACAGAAAAAAAATACTTCCAATAATGTTATGAAAAAAATGCATAAAAGTAATTATATCAATAATTCATCATGCCCAAAAAGACTAAAATAAGTATAATGTTTGTGCAAATTGGATATGACTAAGATTTCTTAATAGAAAATCAGAAATATTTTTACATAATGATGTTTTAATGGTAGTGATTTTCTAACTTGAATTGTATTTTAATGGACGTAGAAACAGTAGCAACATCGCCATGGAAATGTCATTTGCAGGAGGTTTAAACCTCTGTCATAAAGTCCAAGCCTACTTGCCCTCAAATCAATGTACCAAAAACAAATTATATTTGAATTTTTCATAATACATTATACTCTACAAAATTAAAGGATACAGGTTAATATTTATATAACGTGAAGTAAGTGGTTTAATACAGAAAACGTTACCGTTTCTCCTATTCATCCACTATACTTCCAATATCAAATTTTTTTCCCATTTTCCAGGCATCTTTTTTGCCCGCCTGTATTTCATCTTGTTGGGCCACCAGACCATAGAGCAGTCATATTGCTAAATGTCTTTCAATGTAGAGGACTTTCTCTTTACAAAAGCACGTATAAAAATTCTAGAAATAACAGCTTAGATGGTCTCAATTTCTAATTGTATACATAGTCCAGGAAAAATGCAAATTTTATAACAGGTTTTTAGTTGCAAATGTACTCATAAAGTTGTGGATAATCTATTTTCGGCAATAGAGAGAGAATAAATATTTTGAAACTTAAAAATGTAAATTAAAGATGTAAAAAATCATACAAAATAGTCATTTTAATGACATGCTTTGCTATTGGCTGCTTACCCTCTCACCCATCTCTAAATAATTTTGAGATAGAAATAATAAATAAAAATAATTATCATCTATATACTGTATATACCAGAATAAATTGTCTTTAAAGGCACTCCAGTATATCCGAAAGGCTTTTCAGTTTTCCTAGAGCAGATGGGTGTTTATAGTTGTTTGAATGTGTATTGTAAAGCTGCATTCTTGAATAGGTTGGTAAAAAAAAAAATCAATATGCATGAATGACATGCATAGGCATGAATGAGGGATAAAATAGAATAAATTTTATCATGAATCATTATTATAGCTTCATCATTATTTGGTCAGAATTATGATTAACAAAGAGTTTGAAGTAATCTTAAGAAATATTATATATCACATAGATTCCAGACATCTGATTGGTTAAAAAGCTGGTAATAACTTTAACCATCACTCCTATGACATAGGTTTAAATGATACTAGGAGCATACTAGGATAAAAGGAGGATTTCTAGTTCTTTTGTGCATCATGAATTAGAAACTGGGAGTAGCCTAGATTAGGCAAAAACATTCAGTACTCAAAATGCTAAACAAAACAAGGGGTAAATAGTCATAGCTTCTCTTAATTATGCAATCGAGAAGAGTATCTAGAAATGTATTTTATTATTTATTCTGTATCATGTGTTACCATATTATTATATTTCCTTTCTTCTATATCACAATACCACTACCACATTACCACATTATTTATTATCATGTGTGTATTACAGAGATCCCAAGTCTCCCGAAAATCGTGGGTTTCTCCCGATTTTTTAGGCCGTCTCCCGCCCTCCCGATTTTTATTAATATCTCCCGAAAATTTCCACAATGTCATAGAGCAATGAAACAAAAATAGATGTGTATAAGAGACAGGTATTATGGTTTTAAAACAATATCTTGTGAAAGTGACTGCCGTAATTCTGTTGTTATTTAAGTTGTTTATCAAAATAACAACTCCAGGGCAAGGCAGGCGTGGTAGAACCGCCTTGTTTATCCTCCATGTTACGATCTTTTGCATCCAGCGCCGACCTCATTCAATGAGATGGCTGTTAGTTGAGTAAATAAATTTCAACAAATTAACGAAATCAGAAATCACATGGGAATGGATGGGGCCCCAAGTTTTCGCCGCGAAGATTTGGAACAGAATCGGTGCATAAAAAATACTTTTTCTTTCAAGTAAGCTTCAGTTCTTTAATAACAGTACTAAAAAAATTATAGTTAATAGAGTTTTGGTACTAAGCAGTCTTCCGAAAAAATGAAGTTTATTTTAATATCGATCCCGAAGTACATGTAGGGCTTAGGCCTAGGCTCTATCTGCATGTACTGTAGTATGTGTGTTGTGTTGGGTGGGCGTCTGTGTGTAGTGGTGGTCGTGACTCTGCGGCCTTAGGCCTAGTTACG